CAATGGCTGATATGTTGTGATGTACAACATATGCTGTTAATGTTTAAGAATTATGAAAGGTAAAAAGACTGACGCGGATTCATATCGTCTATTTTTCTAGCAACCCGGACGAGCCAGATGGATCGGACTGAACTAAGAAACAAAAATTGGAGACAGTAGATGAGAGGCCGATAAGTCCCAGACTAGTCGGACTAAACTGGATTGGACTCTAAGATTACATTAGCGAAGGGCTCTGATTGGTGCAAACTGCCTAATTTGTAGGCAACGGAGGAATGAATACAAAGTTGGTGACCTTGCTCCGATCTTTCTGATACGTTGATATACATACTGGACATATAGGTCATACAGATCCACTGGTAGCGCTGGTCGAGCAGAGCCCTTTTCTATAAGGTCAGGGATGTGCTGTGTTCTTTGCTTCAGAATTAAAGTTAAAGTTGTGCTGTGAACATCGTCTCACAGCCCCTGGTGGACCATTCACGACTGTGGTGGTCATAAACGCACCCAGAGGCCCAGTGGTGATTCCAACCTGGAGACTTTACGTGCAAGGAGAGAGTTATACCGACTGAGCCACATCGCCTCTGACTATACTGTGTGTCTTCATGCTCATGCAAATATGCAACAGCATGCAATATGTCGTTCGTGTTCCTGTAAGCGGACGGATTATGTTGTGTCGCTCAGCCTACCTTTGCTCCCGCTCCCTTTCTCCCTTCTTTATAATTCAGAAACAATGTTGGAGTTGCCAGTTCCACCCCTGAAACAGTGAAGCAACGTTGGCTGGTCCGTATTCCCATAGCGCAAGAACAGAAACAGTCCTTAGAACACAGAAAACAGAAATATAAATATTTCGATCCCATTCCTGTCAGCACGGTCAATGCCGAGAAATTTTGTTGTGCAGCTGTTCAGGATTTAATGCTCTTTCTGCTGGCCAAGTCCTTCTACAGTACTAACAAAGGTGAGATCATGCAGTGCACGGATCCCGTCTTAATTAGGAATAATGCGTGACCCAGTAATACTGTTTCTGCACCACCGGTACAGCGTGCTGGGACTGCCGACGAGTCCCAGTACAGCTGGGACAGTGTGCTGGGATTGCCGACAGGCCCAGTACAACCGAAACAGCGTGCTGGGGCTGCCGACGGGTCCCCAAACAACCGGACAGCGTGCTGGGGCTGCTGACGGGTCCCAGTACAACCGGAACAGCGTGCTGGGGCTGCTGACGGGTCCCAGCACAACCGAACAGCGTGCTGGGGCTGCTGACGGGTCACCAAACAACCGGACAGTGTGCTGGGGCTGCTGACGGGTCCCAGTACAACCGGAACAGCGTGCTGGGGCTGCTGACGGGTCCCAGTACAACCGGAACAGCGTGCTGGGGCTGCTGACGGGTCCCAGTACAACCGGAACAGTGTTCTAGGGCTGCTGATGGCCCAGTGCAACCGGACAGTGTGCTGGAACTGCCGACGAGTCCCTAACAACCGGAAGTATGCTGGGGCTGCTGACGGGTCCCAGTACAACCGGGACAGCGTGCTGGGGCTGCTGACGGGTCCCAGTACAACCGGAACAGCGTACTGGGACTGCCGACGGATCCCAGTACAACCGCGACAGCGTGCTGGGGCTGCTGACGGGCCCTGACGCTGTCCGGTTGTACCGGACAGCGTGCTGGGGCTGCTGACGGGCCCAGTACAACCGGAACAGCGTGCTGGGGCTGCTGACGGGCCCCAGTACAACCGGACAGTGTTCTAGGGCTGCTGACTGGCCCCAGTGCAACCGGACAGTGTGCTGGAACTGCCGACGAGTCCCTATACAACCGGAACAGCGTGCTGGGGCTGCTGAGCTGCCGACGGGTACCAGTACAACCGGGACAGCGTGTTGAGACTGCCGTCAGACAGGCTGTAACCCAGGAACGCGTGCTGAGATTGCCAGCGAGTCTCCATGCAACAAGGATAGCGTGCCCAGCAAGTCCCTATGCAACTGGAATATACGGTATGGTCCCAATACTGCTAGCGAGTCCTCCGAAACCGGAACAGCGTGCTGAGGCTGCTGTTCAGGGCCGCTGTACCGCAGGGACAGCGTTTGGGATGGCGTCACGGCCGATGCAAAGTGGGCGTAGCGCTGACTCCATCAGACTGGGGCTGCGGTAGTACAGTGGTTAAGCTGCGCGTCGGGAAAACCAGAGGTACGGAGCTCGATTTCCCGCGGCGCCCGCCCTTTCCTGCCAGGATTAGAGGCCGGTATTGCGCCATAAACTTAGCTGCTGAGGACAATCGTAAAGCCCCAATGACAGCACGCCCCCCCACCAGCTCCGGCGCCGTGCAGCCGGCGTCGTGCCACGCTCCAGGCGCCGGCTCGTTGGGCGCACCTGCGGCAGCAACGCCACCTACCGCCGCCGCTCCGCACTGCCCGCCGAGTCTGTTTACAGCATTACCATAGTAATGCGGCGCGGCTATCGACATTCGCGTCGGCAGGCGCGCCGTGCGGCCGCCAGTGCGCCGAGGGGGCCCTTGCCCTGCCCGCTGAGCGAGCGAGCCACCCGGCCGACAGCCTGTGACCCCCGGCGCGACGCCTGAGAGCCGCAGCGAGCAGCAGCGTCTGCCACCGCCGACGTCATGGGCTGCGGACAGAGCACCGACTCGGCCTTCTCCAACCGCGGCTCCATCTCCAGCTTGGTGAGCCGAGCGCCGCCCCGGTCGCCGCGGCTGGCCGATGGAGGGTAGGGGGAGGGGGGGGGGGGGGTGAGCGGCGGCTGCCGGGCGGTGGTGAGAGCTGCCATAGCAGGGTGCAGGTTTTGTGGCAACTAATACTCCTGCTATTGAGTTGGGGTGTAGTTTACCATGCGTTCGGAGGGCCACAGCCCCCGCCGAGCTCCGGCTTCCGGCCCCAGGCTGACGCAGCACCAGGCCTGTGTCGGGTGCGGGACCTGAACTCAGGCCTGCGCCACATGACCTTGCCGGTTTGGTTCGAACAGGACGGTGCTGCTGTGCTGCTAAGTTTCTTTCTGCTAAGAACACAATCATCGATGGCTTTATGCAGTTGAACAACACCATAGGTCAGAGCGACTCTGCAGACCGAAAGCTGTTCGTATATATTGAACGTAATGCTCGAAACATCGAACTAATGCAAACAAGTGGCTGAAACAAGGAAAACGTCATCGACAAAAGCATACCAAACTTATTGCGCTATACAAAGCCACCAGTTACAGAGACGTTGCCACGTGCCACGTCGCTAGGCTAGACCACGTAATACACGTAACGGATTGCAGTAAGTCACGTGATGGATACGACGGCCATGAATCAGAAGCTTAAGTTAGTTTGAAATTAGCTCAGCCTCTAAATCCTGCACCGTTTCAGAAACCGTACCCGCAGCAGAGTTCCGTGGAAGACTCGGGTGCAGCGCATGGAAATGGTGTCGGACCTGAGGTGAGTACCTTTGGGTGTATTGTTTTCAATGGCTGCTGTGCCGACCCGCTACGGTTGGTTGGTCTATAATTTTAAAAAAACTAATCGACCGAAATAGCCCACTAACGTATTCACCGCTCAGAGCACATTTTGTAAGGCATTGATTATAACAGAACCATTATGAACAAAATGGCAATCGCTAATGACGCAACTCCGCGAAGTCTATGCACACAAATTAGGCAAAACGAAGTGATCCATTTGACAATCGGAGGGACTTGGCGTTGCCAGGAGTGCTCGGGCGGCGGCGCCTATCGATGACCGTGACAGCGCGCCCCCGACATCGCAGCCGGTGGTGGACCGCGAGACGGTGGAGGAGTACCTGCAGACGGAGCGGGAGATCGGAGAGGCGCGTCGCGCGGACCCGCAAGTGCTCTCCCAGCTGGAGATGAAGACGGAGGCGCTGGACAAGATGACGCAGAAGGTGGAGCGGCTGGAGCGGGAGTATGGTGACCTGCAGGCGCTAGCGTGAGTCTTTCTCTCCTCCCCTGCAGACGGTGGCGTGTCTTCCCCCATGCTTTCGACACTATAGTGAGTCTGTTCCTCTCCTTCCGGCACCGCCATGAGTCTATCCTCTCTCCTGCAGACGCTCGCGTGAGTCTGTTCCTCTTCTTCTGGCACCGCCATGAGTCTATCCCCTCTCCTGCAGACGCTCGCGTGAGTCTGTTCCTCTTCTTCTGGAACCGCCATGAGTCTATCCCCTCTCCTGCAGACGCTCGCGTGAGTCTGTTCCTCTCTTGCGGGCACTGTCATGAGTCTATCCCCTCTCCTGCAGACGCTCGCGTGAGTCTGTTCCTCTTCTTCCGGCACTGTCATGAGTCTATCCTCTGTCCTGCAGACGCTCGCGTGAGTCTGTTCCTCTCTTGCGGGCACTGTCATGAGTCTATCCCCTCTCCTGCAGACGCCTGCGCGAGTCTGTTCCTCTTCTTCCGGCACCGCCATGAGTCTATCCTCTGTCCTGCAGACGCTCGCGTGAGTCTGTTCCTCTCTTGCGGGCACTGTCATGAGTCTATCCCCTCTCCTGCAGACGCCTGCGCGAGTCTGTTCCTCTTCTTCCGGCACCGCCATGAGTCTATCCTCTGTCCTGCAGACGCTCGCGTGAGTCTGTTCCTCTCTTGCGGGCATCGATCATGAGTTTTCCCCTCTCCTGCAGACGCTGGCGTAAGCCTTTTGCCTCCTGCAGGCGTTCACGTGGTCCCTCCCCCCCCCCCTTTGCGGACGCTGACGTCAGTCTGTCACCCTACGCCTTCCTACTGCTGTCATCAGAGCATTCAGGTGAACCCAATTTGAAATTAAGGAATGCGTGCTAAGGCTAACTAGCAAAGAGAAACCAGTTGCAAGCGTATCAAAACCGAATGTGTCGTTTGCTTCATCTGTTTAAAAGTGCTGGGCCATTGAAAGAAGAGTGTTTTCAGCCTTTCTGACAAGGAGTTTAAGAAAATAGGACATACTTGCTGAGCATCGCTTCCGATGTAAGGTATCTGTAGCTGACCAACTCAACTAGCCTCAGTCACCAGCCCCATTAAAACATTGCAGAGAAAAAGAGAAGGCCGATGTCGATCAGCTTGAAAAGCCGGATGTGAAAAAATTCCTAGTCGAACAAGGAAAACTTGAGGAAAAAATGACCAAAGAGCAGGAGGAGTACATTGACGCGTTGCAGAAAAAGGTATAAGACGCACAGCCCACCGTCTGCTCGCTTTGGTATTACTGAGGAATGGTGGGACATCGGGTCTTGTATCTTGCATTTCGTGCCTTGATCGTGTCTTGAATTTGTATTTCGAACGCATCCCGCTCGTACTTCAGAAACGTGGCTCTGGGTTTAATATATTACTCGGCATGCTTTATTTCAGGAAACGTGGATGCTGTATCGCTTCCAGCGCCCAGCCTGGGGAATGCTTGGTAGTTTGCTTGTGTAGCTTAAGTTGTATAATTCGACGGGTTATTATTCTTCATGACGTTTTGGAAGAGACATGCTGCATTCTTATTTTTTGCTCGATGCATATTTTACAGCTCCAGCTCCCGGTGGCATTAGGAGCTTAGTTTGTTGGTTTGGACTGAATTGGTTGTCTTTTTACTAGATCTTAGAGGCCTTTCAAACCATTTAGGACATCAAAATGGAACTAGGCATTGTGTATGACGGTATATAAACATCGTCACCAAAGTGTGCATGACTTAAAAGCTTCAAAAAGTTTGCACGACAAAAACAGTTTAATTTGGCTAGGCCACGAGTATATGTTGTGCATTGGATGCAGCAATTCTTCTCTTCCAAATCTTCTGAAATCAGAAAATAGTTGCAAAGTGGCTCCTTTTATACCAGTGACCTTTGGAAAAAATACTAATGGTCAAGGGAGCAGCAGGTGAACTCCTGAAACTGACGACAAAACAGCTTGCGCGACCTTTAAACGTAGGTAAAAACGACTGTCATCCATCAATAATGGCCGTGATGTCATAAGGTCTAGATCATGCCACGCGAATGTTTTATTTGACACAAAGTAATATTACAAGGCCTTTCACGGTGTCCACTAAAGCCTCCAAAGTTGACCGAGGCTTTTCCTCAGGGACAAAGTTGACCACGTTTGGCCAGTCGCCAGCTGATTTTTCTTTTTCAGCCAAAGTAGCGTGCTCACCCCGGTGCTCTTACCCAGCACCACACTAGCTGTCAACATACCTGCCTTCGATGGTGGGGCAAAACACCACGCCCCCCCCCCCCCCCCTCTTGGGACTCGTGACCGATAGCAGCCTATCACAAGCCCACCGCTATTTCGCTGGACCACGCGGCCCAGGGGATCGCGGACGTCGACAAGACTTTCGCTGTGGCGCTGCTCCTGCGTTAAGATCTTAATTGCACACACCGGCAAAACAAGTTGAGAAGGTCAAGAGCGCTTTACAGATCTAAGCAGCGCACCGTGCGTCAGTTAAGTTTTTATTTAAGAGCCCAGCTCGCCACTAATTGCTTACCAATGAGCCGAGACCTTCCGTCAAACTGGCATTTACAGAACAGATCGTTTGTTGGTCTGCGCTATGTGACGCTGGTTGGTACCTATAGCTGCGCGATTTGATGGTTGGTACCCACCACTGCGCTATGTGATGCTGGCTGGCACCTATCACTGCGCCATGCGATGTTGGTTGGTGCCTATCACTGCGTAATGTTATGCTGATTGTTGCCTATCATGACGCTATGCGATGTTGGTTGGTACCCATCACCGCGCGATGTGATGCTGGTTGGTACCTATCACTGCGCTATGTGATGCTGGTTGGTACCTGTAAGTGATGTCAGATTTTGGCAGACATATGATAACTGCTCAGGCTACCTGGTCCGGTTGACGAATGTTGGCTTGACTTGACGTTACTGACGATTATTTTGTACGATGAAAGCATTTGCTGGCGATGGTTAACGACACCAAAGCGATTTATTAAGCTTATGGGCTGTGGCTAGCGCAGTCGTAAAATCTTTTGGCAACGTTTCACCCAACAATTTTGTGCAGGGCAGTATATTTTGGACGGCATATCCTTGATAAAATCGCAGTGTCAGTCTAATCGTGATCCCCCTCCTTCCCCGCCTTGATTGTTTTTGGCTTCACCGCTGCTCGTTTTGAGCACCGGTGAAGTCATCTATGCAGCGCTAACCTGCTCACCAGAAGTGCCCTAAAAACAACTTTTTCGAGATGCATTTTGTGCGCCGAGTGAATTTCTCCGAGTTATATTTTGGTAAACGCCGACTGATGATGTGTAGGAGCAGCCCTACGAACTGCTTTTTTTCTATTTCAGCGCCTGATGCTGCGCCGCATAAACGGGCATTTCAAAATTTTAAACCACCTCTTTACATAGAGTGGCTTGACCTGTGACTCACAGATATTGTTTTCAAAAGCCCATCAAGCATAACATACAAACTAAGGCTGGCGGCGTTTTTTGTTTATTCATGGGTGCAGCCACTGGGGGGATATGAGCTGTCAAATGTTCCTAGAGTAGCATGCTTTCCTCTCCGATTTTGTATTTAACATGCACAATTGTTCATGCTTTCCCATTGAAATGCCATCTTTTGATCAGATTTTCCGCTCTATATCTCATTTTGACCCCTTCCAACTTTAGTTTGCTCCTCCAATTACAGCTTGTCTCGGTCATCTTTGTGCATTGTGCAAATGTCGTCCGCTAATATGAAATTAGGTGAATAAATATAAAGGTGACGCATAGGGCTACCTTCTCATTTTTGGTTTAGTTCTGCTCTCGCAATTAAGGTATTCAATCGTCACTGACAACAAACATTACTTATAGAGCTTTTACTGCGGAGAAAAGGCAACATTCATATATTCTCGTTCATTGTTTTTAAATGTTGAAGTGCTAAGTCAATCAAGTCAATTAAGTCAAAGTAAGTGTTAATTTCATTTTTCCCATCAATTTCATCGTAACCGTCAGTTTCACTGTCACTCTGTGCATCGCGTAATATCTCCTAGTGTTAAATAATTTGAATAAATTTGGAGAGGAAGTATAGAGCTATCTCATCATTTTGATTTTGTTTTGCTTCAACAAGTTAGGTGTTGAACGATTACTGACCACATTACTTATAGAACTTGCACTGCAGTGAAGAGGTACTACTCACATGTTTGTTACTCATCGCGTTGACATTTTCGCTGTCTTCATCTGAACTTCCAACGTCTAGTAAGTTGTATGCAACCAAATTAAGCTAGAATCTTGTCCCTATGACTTACAAACATAAATCTGGACAGTATGTGTCGCATCCAGACAGCACCAGATAGCTTTCCATTGCACTCGGGATGACAGCTCGTTTTAACAGGATGTTCTGATGCGTCATCGCCAGATCTTCTGCGCCTCCAGCATCAAAGGACTCCGCGGCTTACTCCTTTGTATGGAGGGGCCGTGCTTGATTAGCGGGTGACAGCTCGATAGTTTACGCCAGACACGGACTTGTATGCGGCGACAAAACCACTGAGAGTAGTTTTCTCAAAGGACTTCCAAGAACGTTAAATGAGCAAAAATGTCTTGAGCTCCTGGCTTTTCGGCGTTGAGAGCCTAAGATGCCATTCACGAGGTCATTACCAACGCTACCAACCTGCATACAGCTTAAGCGATCCCCTACCTTTGGATATTAGCCTGCTCCGTCGCTCGCAACGCCGTCACGAACACAAGCGGCTGTACAATATCCGTGTCCTTCGATAGAAAAGATGGGGACCAGTCGGACACGAAAAAGGCGCTGGTTGCCATCAAGCGGGGTGCTCGCGCCAGCACGGCTGAGGAGGAACGGGTGGCCGGGTGCAATAACAAGGTTCGACAGTGTTGGTTGGCGGTGGCCGCTGCTCCTATCGCCGGCTTGTGAACTTACCGTGTGCGCCCTGTACATAGGATGACGTGATTTTATAGATGTCGCCGCTGGCTGGCCAGCTTTATATAGACGCAGATGCTCGCTTATATACTGCCTACGCAGGCGTTTTTTACTTTTTTAGGGATGTTGTTTTTTGACGCTAGGTCCCGGAAGATGAACTAAATGCATGAGCGATGCTGCATGGTCCCATCCAGGAATCCTTTTGTATTTTTCTATGCATGATTTGATGTCGGTTGGGGGCGGCTTGGTGTGAGACTGATGCATGTCTCTGGCGGATGTCAAAAAAGTGATGGGTCTTCCTCAAGCGTGTTTTTGAAGTCACTGTGGAAGGATTTCACGGTCGCAAAGCGTGTCTTTCCGCACGCGTGCACCTTTAACACCGCCTCGGAATCATCTCACTTGGAATCTTTGCACGTCAAAATAGTTATTGCATCCTCGCATGTGAATCGTAAATGAACTTTGCTTGAGTTTGATAGACGCCGGGGACCAATACCTTGATCTATTTCTGTCAGCACGTTGGTTCCGTTTTGTGCTGGAAATGTAAAACTTATCAGCAAAAAAGAGTTTGTACGATGTTACAGTTCAAAGAAATATATGTTCAAATTGATCTCGAACTTCACGTTGTTATTCTACACTCATCAGTTGCGTTGTAAACATCATAAATATTGTCATGATAAATGCATCTGTTATTTCGACGTCTTCTGCTCATGTCGCACCATGTCCCTCTCCGCATACGTGGAGGAAGTGTTGTCTATATTTAGCTGATCTGAACCAAGGTTTTGCTCTCTCTCTCTCTGGGTAACTGGATGCCCTCCTGCGCAATGTGCGTGCAGGAGATAGCGAAACAGGCACGTGACGAGGCTGTGAGGCAGAAGGAGAACATCCAGAAGGAGGTGGACCAGCTGCAAAGCAAGGCGGCTAGGCTGCAGAACCTGTACACCAAACAAGACGCCCTCCTAAGTACGCACAGGTCATCTGCCGTGGCCTGAACATACGCCATGCTACGGAATGGTGTTGATGGCAGTGTTCACTATGACTAGGGTCTAAAACGCCTGTTGGAATTAAGACCAAATGACTGTCTTTATTTTGTCTCGTAAGTCAACGTCTCCTCTCGTATGCTATGATAGTATATTAATATTGATCAGCAATGCATGAGAATCATGTTGAGCTGGTTGGCCCGACTAAAGTAAGGTAATGCTCTGTTTGGTAGCTCTCTTCACGAGTTGCAGTTTTTCACAAAATGCCGAGACAAAATAAAAAAGCCCGCAAAATGCCACAACATCCAAAATGCCTTAGTAACCTGAAGCCCCAGGCCGCTCGGATAGAGCAGTTCTATGTTTCAGGGGACCTCAGACCACCGTGTGACCGCTCTGTGCTTACGTTTAGTGTAGCAGGCCAACCCGTGAGGTTAGAATGTGGTGCAGTTCTGCCAGCATGTGCTGCTGACTGAGAGCATTCTGAGGTGCCGTCACATAAATTACGTCATAATTTTGTGTCATTTTTGAAACGTATTTCCCTTCTGGTTACGCACTGGTTGCGTTTGGCAGAGACTCCTGAACTGTGTCATATTAGACGTAATTTCCCAAAAAGGAACTTACGATTAGCCCCTCATTTAGCTGCAAGTGCGAAACAAAAGAAGAGTGTTGCTTTTGATGGGAGGAAGCCAACGGCAATAAGATTTTAAAACGTCTTGAAATGATCCACATGGTTGGCGACCACGCCCGACCGCAACGATACACTGCCTTCCTGTCACCCTTCGGTTACTCGCCATAAACCCTATTCTCTCCCGCCTTTCATGCGTGACGTAATATCTGGACGGTCCCTACCGACTTTCCATAACCGTTGCCGGAGACTTCCCATAGCTGTAGGCCAACGCCCGGCATGCCTGGGTGCACTGCGGTACAGCCTAGTCAGCTGCGGGTGTTATGCAAGTCCGCACTGCTCAACTGTACTACGGTGCAGCCTAGCTGGCTCCTAGAGTGAATGCCGCGTGCGTGAGCTCTCCCGTTTATCCCGCTTCACTCGCCTGTGCCGGACGAGTCTGCGCTGCATAACAGTCCCATCGTGCGAACACATGCAATGAATGTAGGTGAACACTAGTGAGGTGAAAAGGCGGGCTTGGTCAGGTTATTCGTTCTGGAACTAATATCTGTAGGACCATAATGTCATTCCGAAGCATCGCACCATTGCAATGGTTGTCAAGACGTAACAGGTCTAGCAACGGCCCTAGTCATCTGCAAGAAAACATGCTGCTGGCATTCATCGCAAATTTGATTGTCGCTGGCTGAGTTCAGTGTACAGTTTATCTGTTTGGCTGTTGTTTCCACCCCGCTCATGCCAGTGGCCGGTTGGTGTGACTTATTTCGTTTTCGAACCCGTAGTGAAGAAGTTCGGGATACCTTACAGCGACATGAGTCTCAGTGACGCTTGCTCTGTTATGCAATGCCGTACAGGGAATAGTTGGTGTCGTCACATTCGTGCAAAGGACGTGGTCTTGTCCTTGGGCTTTTCCTTTCAGGTATGGCTGTTGGAATGATAGTCGTCACTCTCAACCCGACTTATGCGAAGGGGATGACCCATTGTAATGTAATTGATGCAACGAATGTAATAATCACAACGGCCCCCGCAGTGCATTGCAGCCGACTCAGCAGTAAATAATAATTTCGACTGATTCTTAGTATATTCTCTCCAATCTTGAAGTCAGCTGCCCTTTCCTCCAAAAAGGTGAATCACAAACCGCTTCTTTGCAATGTCCCGGATGCGCAAGCATCGCCATGAATGAGAACATGAATCAACAGTAGCGTTGATTCTCGCGCACTAACGACGCTCCGCCCACGCTAGGCAACCGTGCCTGAATGCGACTCAGTCGCAGCAGCAGCTGACTGGGTCCTGTATGGTACTATATGGTCCTGCAGAGCTCGTTCGTCCGGTTCAAAGCTGTACCACACCACACTTCCCTCCCGGCACCGCAAGGTGCTCCGCGCTTACGACCACTAGAGGAGTTCCATAACTGGACCTGTTCTCCGAGACCCCTTGTCGTAGGTCAACTGACACCCACTCCTCGCTGTCTGTCGCCAAAACAGAGCGCCGACAGACCTCAGCACTGAGAACGGTAACCTCCCTTTGATAATTTCCACATTCACACGTGACTTTCTCCATTCCGACTTTCTCCATTCCATGTCATCGATAAGATTTTCGACCGTTGGCTGAACAGAACTTGTCCGAGGTTCGAAACCCAGAGGGTTGTTAGAGGAGACATCTGTCTTCTGATGCATAAGTACTTACCTATGCACCACGCACGAATCGGTCCGCTTTCTCGTTTCCATCAATTTTTCAGAGCCGGCTGCGACATCGATGTGCCGCAGATGAGGAGCATGATTTGAATACTGGGTCGGGCGGGAGCTCTGTGGCTTGGCTCGAACATTTAGTGCTCGAAGAGACTGTTGCACAATGGGTTAAGCCGGCGGCACATCAGATCACATGGCAGATGCAACCATGCAGCCAGCCCAGCCGCTTCCCTCCCTTGTGTATCCTGTAACCGCTTCCCGTATGTTGTGCGACAGAGAAGCATGTCAAAAAGCGGAGAAACAGCAGCGAGAGGAATGTCGCTGCTGCATTTGCCCAGCTCCTCAATGTCGTTGATGAAGCGTAAGCCATACCAACTGGACACGCTTGTGGGCGGTACAGAATGACTCAACATCATACAAGACTTTACCGACCGAACTTGAAATAGAAACCAACTATACGCTCTCTGGCAAACAATCGGCAACAACATAAACACCACAAAAGAACCAGATATACAACATTCTCCCAAAATATGTAATGAGGCGGCACTTTTAAAAAGCGCTTAGGTTACATAATTATGTGTAAATAAACGCTCTATATCGTGTAGCACCAGGCAAAAATCAAATAATACGTCTTCTTGTGGCCTTTTAGACCTGCTAGCTCGAAACATTGCTGCGTTATCAGTGATGTTTGATACCAGGAAGCAATATTTGGGAGCTACCCAACTGGTCTTTCCTTATCTGAACCGGCTTTTTCCAAAGCCTTAACTACCAATCTAATGGTCATATTGACTGCCAGCCCGGGCAGCAGTGACGTCCGGGTTTTTCTGTTCAGAAAGAATAGCAAATGCGGAAAAACAATCAAGTTAGACAATTTGTCACACCGTTGTGGAAAAAGTGTGTTTGATTGAATAAGTGATATAATCCATCGTTTTAGGTAAAATATTCGGCGGAGAGTACGGAAGTGACTTAGAAAACAAACTGGAGGAGGAGCTGGACGCCCTGGAGGCTCAGAAGGCCCGAATCATGGAGGCCAACTTCAAGGTAACTATGCAGCTGTCAGCAACAGTCAGGCATGGGTTGAACGCAGTTTTGTTGGGTGGTGCAACTGTTTGATGATGGGGGCTGCGTCCGCATAGTACATCACTCGATTACCTGGTAAACAATTTCTTGGCACACAGGCTGATTACCTGGTAAACAATGTCTTGGCATTACATGCCCTGTAGTAATGATTACTTACAGCACCACATAAGTGGCAAATTGGCATCGCTATTGTCTTCCCAAAGGAATGCTCATTTTACGCATTGTGTGCCGGCTGCGCCCTCATTCCGCAAAATAATGAGATTGCCGATCATATTACGCGTTTATCTACCGGCGCGCTTCGTTGTCAGTAAGCGCCACGCACAGCAAAGTCACCATATCCCAGTCAACCTCAGTTACGCTGTAATGACAATAGCTGCTTCGTTAAATATCGATGCACGTCGAAGCTGCGGCTGCGGCCACTGTCCGTCTTAGGTGTTGTGACGAGGACAAAGGAACATTCGATACGCGTCAAACCGCTGTGCCAATGTATCATTTCGAGACGTAATGGACAAGCGTCAGTCTGTTGTAAAACAGAATGAGCATATTTTTAAGCAGTGCAGAAAGACAAAATAATGAACAAAGAATGGGCATGGCAAATATGCATTAGGCAACAAAGATGCTCTCTGATTCATTTTAGGCTGACTCCCTAGTCAACAAATCATCATGTAGGGAGCTAAGTCCTGAATTCCGTGCTTCTATGCCAAAAAATCAGGTGGAAAATGAATATTTTACTGTTCTAAGATGACATGATCTCCGGATGATCCTTTAGATCCACCCTCTCCCCTATCCCACTTGCTTACGCTGGACCAAGGCTATCTAACGACGTAGAACCGTCCGGTCTGAAAACGTGGCAACATCGAGCTTGCGTGAGAATAGAGGTAGAAGTAGTCTGGAAGCAAAGCTTGCGTGATGTCAGGTGCACCACACTTGATGACATCACTGGAGAGGAAACTGCTCATTTATTAAGCTGACTGCTACACAACCCATCATATTGAATGGTGGATATGCTTTGGTCATAAGCATCTTTAATTACAAAAAATAAAATTTAACATCCAACACATTGAGCTATATAAATGCCAACATTTATTAAAGAAGACGTGAACAAAAAATCCCTCGGACAAGCCTCAGTTATGGCAACCGTAACGTCATGGACACCATATTTGATGACATCAGTGAAGAGGAAACTGCTCATTTAGTCAGGTGACCGCTGTACCGTCCATTCGTTTGAATGGTGGTTATGTTTTTGGTAGCGTGCGGACGGTGGTTCCCGGTTGGAATGCGTAGCAGCCGTGATACGTAATGCGCTACAAAAGCCGCATGATATATAACTCCGAGTTATGTGTACCCCCGGGAAAAATACAAAATTATGGTGAGGCTTAACTATTCCAGGATTCAATTTCCCTTCCAAAATAGTTTTTGCATGCGAAAACTGTGAGCCATTTACACAGAGTCCAACCGGGAACTACCGTCCGCACCACCACCAAAACACACCCGCCATTCGGGCAAATAGGCTGCACAGCAGTCAGCTGACTCATGAGCAGTATCCTCTCCACTGATGTCATCCAATATGGTGTACATGACGTCATGCAGGCTTTGTGTCCAGCCTATATATTTTTTTCACGCAGCTCGATGTTGCCACTTTTTGATAGTATTGGATGATACGGATGGCGTCCTCTGACCTGGACCCTCACCCTTCCCAGGAAGCCGGTGGGTCCGAGAACCGCTGAGCCTGGTTCGGCGAGCTGTCCTGAACTTTGACAATAGTGGGAATTACAACCGCAGAACATTCCGCGCATAGTTGCACGGTGACACGTAGCCCACAGCTTGGTACACCTGTAATTCCCATTACTATCGGGCATATGGCGTAGTTTCCCCAAATTAAATATCAACAGCTTTGGCAGGCATTGAGGGCTTTTTTGTTAGACTGTCATTTACTGCAAAAGGCTTTAAGCGTGTTGCTATAGCGTGACATATGAACCCAAGTCTGGGAGTCATGCAGGTCGATGCTGACAGGCACACCGCAAGGTAGAGTCCGGTTGATTCTTTTCGTATAGAGAGTGCATGTTGATTTTTCAGTTCTGAGAACATCTATGAATTCGTGCGATCGTTTGCGTCCGCTGGACGGACGGGAGCAGCTCGCTCCGACCTGTGACGTCATACCATGAATTAGGCTTGAGCCCAGGCGTCTGGACTCGGAAGCCGCCGCGCCGCAGGTCCGGCACTGACGGCCGCCTTTCTCGACAGTGGCGCCATGCGCAGATGATGATGGAGTTCGCCTGCAGGCAGCGTGGCCGTGGCTGTGCAGAAGTGCAGGACCTGCCCGATATCCCAGACACGTGAGCAGCGCCCCCCTGGCGTGCCGTGCCGCGCAATGACACCTGTGATGCCACGCAGCCATTAGTCGCTCGCACATCAACTGTACTCGCCCGTGAGCACAGTTGATTGATGGCAACGCTCTGAACCATTGTTGGTGCTTACTTTTTGGTCGATGAAGGTTTGATGACCTGGCGCACGTATGGTTGGTTGCAATGGTGCATTGCTTTTAAAGTCGCTTTATAATATATATAAAGAAAGAGAGAGAGAGAGAGAGAGAGAGAGAGCGAGAGAGAGAGAGAGAGAGAGAGAGAGAGAGAGAGAAGAGAGAGAGAGAGGAGAGAGAGAGAGAGAGAAGAGAGAGAGAGAGAGAGAGAGAGAGAGGAGAGAGAGAGAGAGAGAGAGAGAGATATATATATATATATATTATATATATATATATATATATATATATATTTTCATACATTCAGTCCATTGCCTGCTTAAGGAGACAGGGTACGTTCGTCGGCTTGGCAGGAGCCTGGAGGTCCGTTACACGATGGCGGCCGAGGCTAGGAACAACCTAGTAGCCGCCTCCCAGAACATCGAGGGCGCTCACCGCTATCTCAGCAACGTGGAGTTCCCGTACTGCAACCCGGATGAAGTGGACACCCTCAACAAGGTAAGGCGCCACCGCTATTTCAGTGGCATTGAGTTCCCCTACTGTAACCCTGACGAAGTGGACATCCTCAGCAAGGTAAGGCGCCAACGTTATTGCAGTGACGCGGGCTTCCATTCTGGCATTTTGAGTTCAAAATTATTTTGCTGAGTTATCGGCTTTAAACATACCAGGAGGTAACGGGAAAACGACGTTTCCGAGCAGGCATTCGTCACATCGACAGGTACTTTCACGTTTCAAGCTGTGCATGTGATCCACGATTGGAGGTCTCCAATGCAACGAGTGAGTCCTTTGTCCGAATTGACATCATTTTATGCAATGTTGCGAAAACTTTAAAGCTCATAACCTTGACATTCACGATGCATGACTTTTTCTCAAGGTTCATCGGTGACATTTTACTTAAACGTGGTAAATGACGCTTAGTTCTCACCGTAAATGCACTCCAAAGGGGGTGGTTCTGGCTTATTTTTTATCGCTATCATTTTACAGTCCCGTACTGTCGGGCTAGCCTGATTGCTAATTGGTCAGGGTCACCCAAGTTCAAGGTAAGGTTCAACTTTTGTCTTGGTCTTTGCAAGGTGGCCAGACATGGCCTTTTTAATTGCATACAATAGTCGCTCTCACGAAGGATTACGGTGCAAAGTTTTTTAATTTCAGTGTTTTTATTCTGACCGCGCACCTTTTGTCAGCGACTTCCGGCTAAAAATGTGTCGCAGAGATTAAAATCATGTTTGACACACAATTTGATAAAATCGCGGTTGGCTGGTTATAAGCAAGATCGTATTTATGATATGACGCTAGATCTCTTCCTATCAGTTTTTTGAAAACTTATTAATAAAAGCACCACAAAATACCAACATTCGGTGGTAATTTTGACATTCTGACGCAGGCGCGACAAAGCAAGCTCAGTTGTTCTGGCAACATTCCTGCTCATAAATATGCAGTAGTTGCAGAACCTGCTTAGAGTTTTCAGAGCTTGCTGACAGCACCTACAAGGCTTGCCTGCAATACTCACATGGCTTCCTTACAGTACCTACAGAGCTTACGCGGCTACACAGGTTAACGTGATCCAAGATGAATGATTATGAATGACATGATCTTGAGTCCGCCTTGCCCCACACAGCACCGCTGTAAAACAATAATATGGCAGCCGGCCATCCACGCCTTCACCGATGCGCATCGCTGACTGCCAGGCATAGTATTTTCCTACAATTTGGGTGAACTAGAGTCATGGGCTGAAGAAATATCTATAAATGGTCTCGTTTAATACAACAAGCTTATGTTTAGTTTGACACATGTGGTCTTCATCTTACATGTCAATGGAGTTGTATAAAACAACGTTCTCCTTGTCAGTGTTCAGAATATACTAAGATTTCACAGAAACATTTTGAAAAGTTTAAAAAACTTGTAGTGCCTTAAAAGGAGCGTTTCACATTTGTATGAGGCTTTTAACTGAAAAAACCATCTTAAAAATCATTCGGTAAACTTCACAGCCTTGTCTTTCTTAAGGCCTTAACACGCGCTCGGGTTGGGAGGGGGTCAGATTGAGCCCACCCCCAAAAGGTTTTTCCACAGTGCTTTCCGAACCGTATCGTATCCGTGCCAAAATTGGCCTAGCTGTAGGCAATCGAATAGCAGATCGCTTGACTTAAAAATTTAGATGCACCTTGTAATGTCACTGACCTATGGCAGGTCAAAGTTAGGCCATGGTTTCAGCGAAGGCAATTTCTAGGGAATCGTTCAATCTGATGCAGCAACGGAGTGTTTGAAAAAGCCATACATCTCTGAGATGCTTTCTTAGGCAACCCAAATTGTTGAATGAGCAAATTACGTTGCACTAAGTTCAGGTATGAAGGTCAGACCAAGGTAACCAGCTTGCTTTATGACTCCAGGGCTTGCTGTATGGGATACTTTCTGGTGCTCATTTCGAATTTATTGATAGCAGGAACCGCATTAGATATCTTCCATTGACTATTTAGAGGTCAGGATAAGTCATTGACCTAAGATGACACAGGTCGACATTTTGTTTTTAGGAACATAGTCCCTAGCGTAATCTTTGTCGCTTATTCAAATGCAAATGCAATTCAACGCTTATTCAGAGCAGTCTTGTACATTTCTGGTCGCCATGACCTTCAAAGGGTCAAACAAGGTCACTTACCGTAAATGAGCTTGTGACCTTTTGCTTAGAAACAGTTATCTAGGTTCTGGGGCACTATGAAGGCCAACCTGGAATTTGACCTTGTTTGACCTTATTTCACCTGAAGGTCATGACTTAGAAACCTCATACTTTGATCTAAGCGAGTTTATGTACAGATATATACCCTGTAAATTTGGTATTTCTAGCTTTCTTAGTTCTCGAGATCTCAGTGGGTTCAAATTGACCCCCACCCGAGCGAAGGGTGTCTTGCCGGCCACCCGGTCCCTATTTAACTCTTTCATTTCCGAGCGGTGCGCCCATGGAGATATGTAGACTTTTTCGTACCGGCTATATCAAGGTCACCCAGACATCTATGATATTGAAATAATGTTGTTCAAATCCCGCCGTTTTATTGGCGACGCGGTGACCAAGGCAAAAAACCGTTGAGTCGTTCAAATTTCGCGTTCGTGACCGCGATTTCTGGATGCAACGGCCGTCAGCTGGCTTTCAATCAATGTTGTGCAAGGTATGATAACACAATCAAACGCTGGTGCACTGAGGAGCATACCTAATAAATAGATAACTTGTGTTGTCTAGAGTAGTCTTTTCCACTTAAAATTATACTTATAGTCACAAGCCAGCTAACTTCATCATATCTGATGCTTGCTTCAGTATATTCAAATGTGGAACATTCTCTTTAATTCATCGTGAAAACAGCTGATTCGAATATTCGTGGAGCCTATCTTACAGCTTTCACTGTTTGAACTGATGTGGGTTGTTTTATTATTGGTGCAGCGAGACGGGCCAGCACAACGATAGCCTTCAACCCTTTGACCTGACATAACATATCCCTTGTCACACCTGTCGCTGTTCACTAGGACGCATGCCATTCAGTTTTCCAAGTTCTCTCCAGCGCGGTTTTCTGCTTTGTGGTAGCCTGTTTAGTTCCTCAGGTAATCGGAGCCCATAAAGGGTCAATTTGGCCGCTGCAGTCTCATTTGGCCCGTCAAAGGTCACATTCATCTTTGTTCAGCCACACTTATATAGCCCAGCTCGACGAAACCTTAACACTGCCTTTTTCTCTTTGTCTTAATCTTGCCTAGTTTTGGAGATTGTTGTGTTTGTGGAAAAGTTAAAGGCTTCTGGCCAATGAAAATGTCGGAGTTGAAAATCTATTACCGTGAAGTTAAAATCGAAGCACTTGGACCCAGCCGATGAATTATTTAAGGATTGGCTCTCATGTTCAGCAGTTGGCTTGGCAAATACCTCGCTTACGTCAAAAATGATGGCGTGCAGTTCATTATGTCAAATAAGCTGTGGCTGACTTTCCGGCTAGCCATTCATTAGTTTTTTATCGTGTAAAGCTGTTATTTTGTGGCAACTGTCGTAGCATGCAAAATTCACCAACTCCAAACTTTTTTATTTCAACAGAAAACTTGTTCAGTGAAATAGACAAATTTCACCTTTTAGTTCGATGATATGAAAGTGTGGTGGCGTTTGGCGATAATTTCGTTATGGATTCCTTGGTTATGGATGCCCTGAAACAAAAACTTCAGATTACGAGTCATCCGTTTACATTCCTCGCTACGATTTTTTTTTACAACCCAAAAATGTTGCTATTCATTTGTAGCTCCTGAACGCAAAGTGGAACGGCACCAACGTAGGTTCAAGCATCCCGGTGTCGGGCTTTGTGGGCTTACTGAAGCGCTGAAACAAACGTCAGCAACCTCTTAATCAGCATGCAGAACGTTGCGAAATGAATGCTGGATGGCGATGATGATAACATAACGAAGCTAGAAATAGCTATTTAAGACTGCACCAATTAGTGCCATACATCGCTCAAACTACCACTGCGTAATGTAGGAGCGGTTTCTCTGCCCGTTGACCTGTAGAGGTGTGGCTATGCCGATTTTTTTAAAGGGAAACGCGACGTACACGTCGCGCCCCATTTGTAGAAGCCCCAGCGACTGCATTAGCTATATTAGCGCACATGTGCCATGGCGCAAGCAGGCCTCGGGCTCAGGACCACCACGTCGGAGTCCAATGTGTTGACCACTCGGCCATTACGTCCCATATGCTGACTGAAGCCGTTACTGTCCTGCGTATCAAAGACGTAGCGGCCGTTGTATCAAGAAGTGAAGCCGTTGCAAAGCCGTTACTCCGCAGCGGTGGGAGTATCTGGGTACATAAAAGTACGATCCAGGTTACATCATCGCTCTGCTAAGCCCAAAGAACGCATTTCTCCCCTTCCCCTGCAAAAACAAATGTTTGGATGACGCTGTTAGCCCGGCTCCATTACTATCGCGCATTCATATAAGTCAACGTTGAACGTCCAGTGCGTTAGCACTAATGGCATGTACCGTGCAACGGCCTTCACATTTTGCATTAGTGACAATGTATTTGTAGAGCGGAGCGCGTAACGATCGCCGGCCACGCATCGCACACGGCGGCGTCTGAGCCGACCCGGCGGTGTCATGTGCATGTGTCATGTGCTGTGTCAAGTGCATGTGTCATGTCCAGACCAGCGTAATCCGCGCCTCTACCTTGCCGTAGAGGACTCCGGGTCGGGTGCGTGCAGACAGACCACAGCTACGCTCGGACGTGTCTTACGCAAAATTTCACAGCTGGTGCAGTGTTTGTGTCTGATGGAGAACAAAGCGGAAGCTGAGACAGATGCGTAAATCTGCCAGGCGGGAAAAATCAGACATGAAGCAAAAGACAATGTAATTCAGCTGACACATTGACGTTGCCCGTAACGGTCGTTTGGCACGCGTACTCCACCTCCCGCGTTAATCAATGAAGTAATGTCACACTTCATGCCACCAACGTTTGATATGTGTATTGTGTCTATGTAGATGACTGTATGGCATATAGGGGCTCACTCGCATCTGACGTGTGCAGCAGGCGTCTTGCAACTTCTACCATGGCATGCGAGTGTGCATATAGTATATCAACAAAATAAAACTCAAGAACAAATACCCAAGAGCCGCCGCCCTCTCTTAATGCCGTCAAATTTATCGGGTGAGACGGATGATCAGATTTTAAATTATGCGCTTTGTGAAGAACTCTTTAAATAGAGCCACTTATTTGGGCCACTTTTTTTTAGCTTACATGATACCGGGGCCCCGATCCGAGAAACAGTTTCCAAGCGAGTTTGAACATGCATACAACACTTGCGTTTCTTTCGATCACGGCTGTAAGCGTATGTCAGCCACACACGGACAAATCCCGAGAAGTAAGCCTTGGTGCTCCCCATTGAAGCTAACTTTGAAGGATTTGTCAAAGATACTCCTGTTCATATGTATACTATTTTCAATAGGACATGGCCAGCGTCAGGTTAAGGGAATAATATGTATTTTGGATGAATCTAAAACCTCACCGTTAAGCCCTTCTTCCGGTCTTTTTGCAATACCGCACGCTGCAGGTATTGCAAATAATCTCCT